GCGGACCCGACGTCCATATAATTGTAAGTCAATGGGTCTCATGATAATATCGATAAAGTTAAGAACAATGAATTACGCCAAGTAACAATACTTATAATCACGCTATGCACGTGTTTGCGCACGTTTTTACGCAATGCCACTCGAGTATCGTCGGACCGTTACATAGCGCAACAAAGTCACTACACACATTGGCTACTTCCTGTCGTATTGGCTTTGAATGTACAATCAACAAACTTTTGTCGTCGATCAATTGCATTGCACATTATTTATATAAACTCTATCGACTTTTTGAACTGCAAATACAAGTTTGTAGAATAAGTTCCTGTCGAACAGCATTCTTTATACTTCAAATATTCATTGCTTCTTTAATTTGACTCGGTTTGTATAAAGTGCTTTTGAAGGAGTTAATGTATGTTGAGTGGTGTTTGTTAATCGTGTGACATTGAATCTGCTCTAGATAACGCTTTTATAAGCAATTCTATTACGCAATTGTACGAAACACTTTCTCTGTATTTTCGTAGTAACTTTTTTGAGGTTTTATTTATGGTGTGGCTGTGAATGCACATGGCTAATTTGCAAGTTAGGTGGTACATTACATTTGAGAATTATTAATACAAAGAACACTTAAGAAAAAATTTGTTTGATCCGGCTGGATTCAACCAAGCCATGGAATGAACTAGCGGACTTTACGAATTTTTCTAGGTGGTTCTTTACAGATCGCGCCATCTGTGAGAAATCTGTTTCTTCATTCAGGGAGGTACCTACCTACCTTTTCAGCTACCATCAGCTGACTAGCAATGTTGCTTTCATAATCGTTTATTTTAATGAACTGAGTAAAGTACCTTAAGTAGATTTTTATTTAATAATTTTACTCTAAACTTTCGAAAAAAACTGTCGTTTTGGGGGGTGGGGGTGGAATTTTTGTTGCCGGACAAATACAAATCAATAAAGCTAATGAAATAAAACAATAAAAATAGAATTCGTGTACTTAAAAATGTTAAGGGTCAAAAAAAGATTGGCACTCAACACGCTTTGGGACTGGGAATCGTAAATCCCAATTGATCTGTTAATAGAACAAATGGGAAGAAAATACCAGTACTCGGAATAATCGGACAGAACCGACAGAACTAGGTACTGGGGATCGTACATGTAGTCTTGTCAACAGAATTGTACAACAGAACTAGTAGGCGTAGAGGGGGCCAGCATGGTCTTAATCTCGTGAACCAACAAAGCCGTGGTGGCAAAAAAGTAAGTAAACCTTACAAAGTTTTGTTAGGAAGAGTTATACAATAACGTTGAGTATAGCAAATTAACTTCCTATTAATTATTTACATACAGGTTTTAAAAAAAACTTTAAGTTTTTTTGTTAACCCATTCTGAAAGCGAAATATTAAATTGAAAAAAAAAATAACACAGAACCCATTCAATATATTTAATCACTTTAGACACATGTATGGTGATTAATGTGTATCATGTCGTCATAACGGAATTCATTTCGTGGTCAGACGCCAATGTCAAATTCCACGCATAAAATTCCCGCCAAGCAGTAATCTGAGCATTATTGCATTCCGGTTTTCAAAGGTGCTGGTGAAGTTACAGGCACATGGGACTTATGTGTCAAGGTAACGGGCGTAGTGATAGTATCCCTCAGTTCCGACTAGCATTGCAACTGTTATGGGCAGGCGTGTCGCTTAACACCAGGCGGTGTTAACACCAATTTTTTCGTCCCGTCACTTGATATCGTAAAAAAAGACAGAATCGCGTTAACTTTATGTCCGTGTAGTAAGAGCGAAAAAGACTGCGGTGCGACGTCAGCCATCCGGGTTGAAGCGAAACGTTTTTTTTTATATAATGTCTAGTGACTGGTGGAGCAAAATCTTTTTCACTCTTATTGCATAGATATAAAGTGTTTTTCTGACCAATTTAAGTCGATTCGGCGTTAATAAGTGTGATCCTCACGATATTTTTCATCATCGAAAATGTCGCACATAACTTCCGAAAAAGATCATAGGTGTAAGCTTGGATTCGAACTCACGCTCTGCAGGCGTTAGATCAAACTTTTTAAACATTGTTTAGGGTATTTAATACTGAAAATGCAAGATATATCCGTGAGTGTATAACATATTGCACATGATATAACGGTTCGTGATACACGGTATGTTGTGGCGATAACGAGATTACTGATCTCAGCATTAATGCTTATTGTGAGAGAGAAAGTGTTACGGTGTGCGAGGAGAGAAGCGGGTAGGGGGAAACGTTGGCTAGAAAGTAATCATCAACTGGTCACGTCGATTTAATGTCGTGAGCGGAATTAAAAGAAAAGACTTACACTCCACTCCACCGCTTATTTGTTATAATTTTACTAATAAAAGATTGAACAAACTTAAAGAAAAATCCTTCACCTACTACGCCTGACAAACCTTCACTCCCATCTACCTCTTCATACATGCCCGTTATTTCGTACACGTTTCTTTTTACACGGCCTTTTATGATACTAAGGGATAGGATGAACAAGTCGTGCACCTGTTGGTAAGTGACACGTCTCTCCACGTTGAGACTTAAGTTGACACCCTTACCCTTCAAAACCGGAACGCAGTACTACTCACATTACCGCTTGGCGACAGAAATAGATAAGATGGCAACACTTTCCTAGACGAACTCTTTCACAAGGAGCTCTACTGCTTCTACTAAAATCTCCAATATGATCGAGACATGTACGCTAAGGTCTATCTCTCCCCACGCTTCCATACACATTCGCTCTATAAATTTCTACCGACAGTCTACCAAAATTCATTATTTCTACATGACCAAATCATCGAAGTATATGTAAAAATGGTCTCCCCACGCTCCGTGGTTTAACACATTTCCTCGAATGACTGACCATAGAAAGCCACACACTGGCCTCGCCCATTTCATATTAATAATTATTCAGTTATACATGGTGACTTTTTTATCACTGGCCAAGTTTTAATATTATGAACTTTGATAAAATAAACACGTAAGTTTATTTTTTATTTTAGTATCACCCAGTAATGGAATTTTGAGATATGGCCTCACAAATTTATACAAAAAACGGCCATGTTTTTAGACACTCTACGCGAAACACACCGCGGCCGATGTAGGTAATCGAAACAATCCCACACGCACCTACACACGATGGAATTAACAAAATGTTGAGATCGGTTTTTTTAATAAAAAAGTAATCATTATTTATATGTGAATATAAATCATTGATAAAACGAGTTTGACATGAGCATACGTTGCCTTCAAAAATTACTTCTCAAGTTACGACAGTAAGTCACGAAAGGTCGTTGTAAAGGACGATATGATCATACACGCCTAGAAACGAACTAGACAAATAATTATTGACACACATAAACAAAAAACTATTAGCGACACGTCACTTGAGCCTATTAATTTTCACTAACTAGAAATCAATTAGACAGTGTAATGTATGTACCTACTTATTATTACATTTTGTACCTTGAAATTGTTCATGGTCTCATTATGGTTATTTTATGAATATTAATAAATTATTCATATACTACACAGAGTAAGTTTCTCTACATAAGTTCGGTGGCAATTTTCATTACAAAAATATGTATTGTAGAATATTATCATGAAGTATTATTTAATATTCGAGTACAGTGTCCTGCAATATTATGTAACATTTCACAATAATTTACTCGAATATTTAAATAATAAAAATTGCCACCGAAATTAGGTAAATAATACTAACCTGAAAATGAATTATCAACTAATAAACTAAATTAATTACACAGGTCAGTCAAAACATTTTTAAGAATATTTTAAAAGTCTATACTACCTCAAATGGCATTGGTTGGTTCCGCGTACACACTGATTAGTTTTAAATTTAGTAGCAGTAGAGTCCCGTGTGAAAGAGTTCGTCCTGGGAAATACTGCCACCTTACCTAAATAGGTATATTTCTGCCGTCAAGCAGTAATATCAGCATTGCTGTCTTTCGGTTTTGACGGGCAAGGGTGCTGGTGAAATTACAGGCACATGGGACTTGTCAACTTATGTTTCTGAGTACGGGCGCAGTGGCAGTGACCTTCAGAACTTTGCGGTTCAAAGCTCTGACTGACACTGCAATTATGGACAGGTGTGTAGCTTACCATCAGGCGCACGACTTGTTCGTCCCGTCACTTAATATTATAAAAAAAATAAAGTACTATACGTTGTGAAAAAATTTTTACTATAAAAAACACAAATTTACATCAAAAATGTTCTACAAAACCGCCGATATATACCAATGATTTTTTTATTTCAACTGAACTAAATAAAACACGTGTAGTATACGATACGGCTTTATTTTCGTTTGTAAAAAATAAATAAAAAGCAAAACCGTAGCGACTCATAACCTATTTGGAATATACTTGTCTGAATTGGTTCTGATCTTAGTGCTCCGGAGTTAATTTTGTTACTCTGTTATGATACTCATAGTACAATGAACTCCATAGTCTGAGACCAGGCGATTGGTGAGACTCTCAGGTATATTACTAGTACTTTGAGTACCTATCTACTTTATGTACTTTATATAGTTTCTCCTATAACTTATCTATTTCTGTCGTCAAGCAGTAATATTTAATTAGTTTTAAACGTTCCGGTTTTGAAGGTTAAGGGTGCTTTTCAACTTCTTAGTAGCAGTGCCCCTCCGATCTTTACGATTTAAAGCTCTGAGTGGCACTGCAACTTTTACTGAAAGGCATGTCACTTGCCACCAAGCGCATGATTTGTTCGTCCCATCATTTGGTATCATATAAAAAGCCTAAAGATAAATTTAGAATTTTATACAGAGAAGGCGGTATTCTCCGGCAAACAATACGTGTCACGTCGAGAAGCATTGTTATTACTATTATTGAAATATAAATATTATTTTAATTACCTTACAACTGACTTTCTGCGATAGTAAAGATTATTTTGGAACTGTTTCTTGACCGTCTATATACATTGCTAAAAGAACTTTTCGATATTGCAGAAACAGCAGCCGTCAGACAACATGAAGCTCCCGCCCAACGGGTACTATATGTACACGGACCGAAACGGAAAGCGTCGCACCGTGCTCTACCACACCGATAACCGTCCTGGCTTCAAGTCCACTATTAAGCAGATCTTCAAGAAGTAAACTACATCTATAACAAGCAACATTTTTGTCCGAGTTCCCTATGAGTCTCTTACAAGAATGAAAATTAAGACTTAGTGAAATACCGCACGTGCAATAATGACGGATGGTGTGCATTATTTTGAACCACTGGAATACACCAGGGAATGAGATCTAAACCTCATCAAAACTGTTTAGATCTGTAAATCCGATAAAGAGACTATACGAAAAATTGGCGCACACGTAAGGAAAGAATAGTTGTAGGGTAGAGGATAGGTTTCCTATATGACACTTTGAGGACTTTCAGATTTAATCAAACTTGTGTTTGCAGCAGCACCACTTTAAACAACAATAAAATACAGTACGGCCAAAACCGGCTTACCACATAAATCTCAATAGAACTTAGTCTACAATGTAAAAAGAAAGTAAGAACAGATATTTATGTAATTTCCACAAATGACACCGCAATAAACAACTGCAACGTAAAAAACAAATTACAGCACAAAATCAAAAATTATTTCCTGAAAAAAGACGCTATTTAGTCCGAACACAAAGCAACTTTGTGTGTTGTCAGCTGCAGTAACAAAAGGGTTACTAACTCAGCAATTGCTGGGAAGCGCAGCGCGTTCTCACCACTGATTTTCAGTGCCAATGCCAATGTTTCTCGGAATCTCATAATATAAATAAGTTTTCTCCCTCACGCAAAGAATGTCTCTATTTTATACTTAACCTCTTCAACATAACGTGGAGGTGTTTAATTGACACGGCTTTTCCTTTCCTTAATTGTAGTGCACTGAGGTATTGACGATCTGGCAAGAGTGCCACACGATGTTCTTATTTCTTGAAGAGCTGCTTCAGTTGTTTCATGAAAATATTCGTTTCTACTACTACACTTAAGGTTAGACGGTTGCTATTTAACCATTTATTTACTAAAGCCATTCCTGTCAAAAACATTACTCGAAGTCTGTCCATGTAACAAAACCGCAACATCAATTGCTTAGCGAGTTGTGGATGCATTTTGTAAGTTTTAAAATAGAATGTCGTTAACATAAAGCAGAAATAGCGTTGGCCACTATAACGTGCCCAGTGGTACACCTAAATCAATTATCCCAAAGTCGCTAAAGCCTACTACACATTGTCTCCCAGATAGAAGCAGCTTGACAGATGTCATCAGCTATAAAACCAGCATATTTTTTAGAATTAATATGATTTCCATGTACACCAGTTTTATCAACAGAATATGAATTGGCTCGCAGTCAAAAGCCTAAAATAAGTCCAAGAAAACACCAATTACAGTCGACTCGCAATCCAAATGGACGGTTTGTGATCAATTTGACTGGTTTGCTGGAACTCGGCTTCGGTGTTTTCCCAGTTGAGCAGGAATCTAACAATCTAACAAAAGTTGACAAGATTGCCGGGAATAACCGCGTTTCAGCATTACCTTTTTGCTTAATATTTCCAAATGCCATTGCCATTATCTTGCAAATCTTATACTATTGAAGATCAACAAGAAAATTTCTATTCTACCACAGTTTCGTCCTAAACAGCCAATAATTTCAGCAAATGCACAGAATGTTAAGAATATAAATATTCTTCCGACAGTCAATATTTTGAACAAATGACATCATATTTCAAATTTCTAAAGAAATCTCCAGTAGAAAATTTCTCTTGCTATCATCGCATATTTTGAGTCCTCAGTAACAATGACAAAAATCTTAACTTCGTCTTTAAAGATCACATAGTTTAATTTACAGGGATTCGTATAGTTATTATAATTCCTTGTATGCCAATTATTTTATTATTTAAGTTTTTTGAACAATTATGTATTTAAAATGCATAAAATTTAAAAAAAAATATATAGTGTAATTTAGCCAAAAATAATATTAGTATTTTCTACCTGATAATCATATCTGTTATAGTCATAACCTAACTATAGCCAATGCATTTGTTTAAGCTTGTATAAGTTATTTGTACCTGTGTAATCCACACTTTGAAGTTATTAGTTAATATTACTATCGTGTCAAACCATAACATTGCAAGTCCCAGAGTAGCGTTTTGCAGTTTCATATCAACAAAAATCTTCGCCTAAGGCAAAACAAATTTGTTTTCTTGCAAAGTCTCTTGTAATTGCCAGACAGAATTCTTTGATTAATCAGAAGGCTTTGGTTAATTCCGCAGCGAAAGTTAATGTCAATCGCGTTTGAAAAAATATATGGTGAAATTAAGGATATACATTGAATAGTATACGGTGTGAAAACGCGGTTCCTAAAAATTTTCACGATAGAAAAAAATACTAACTTACCTCGAAATTTTACAAAACCGCTATATTCAATAGGTACTTTGCATATACCAATGATTTTTATAATATCAACTGAACTAGATACGATGTAAATTTTTCAACCGCTTTGATTTCGTTTATACAAAAATAAATTTTAAAATTATTTTAAAAAATTTTAAAAATTTTAATTCAAACTGAGGTCGTATCAACTCTTAACGTCTAATGTACAACGTAGGTTCAATGTACCTTTGATTGTATTTGTTTGAGATATTTCTCAAAATGCTGTTTTTGATATTACAGTTGACACAGTTGAGTACCTAATTAATTACTTTTACTCAAACTCGTTGACATCCCATCATTTTAGAGCTGTCAAAATTTCCGCTTATTTATAAAAGTTGCTCAGCACTGAAGCTAAGGCTTAATGTCGTTATTTAGTTTTATTTAATCAACTGCAATGTCTTCGCCATATCCAGGATACTGCTGATATTATTATCGAAGTGACGTATCAACTGATACCCGCTTAATTAGGCGCTGTTTATTAATACAGGCCTTAGTTTTGCAAGCAACTACAGATGTATGTTTGTCTGAAGAGCAAATACATTTTTTTACCGTCCATACAAACCTCTCAGCGCTGCAACAAATTGTATGTTCAAAATTTCGCACCCTTGGTGTAATAAGGTCACATCTGCAAAATTCCGACTTTCCGGAAAGAGGTTTAAAAATTCTAGGATTAAAATCGATCGGTAACCTTTTTATGCTCTTAAAATAGGAGAATTTTAAAATACCACATACACATAATTTATTTCATATTGTTATTATTATTTTTATGACTTACGTGTGACAAAACCACTCATTATCAATATCATTAAACAATGATCTTTTATGATATCTCAAAAATATATTTTGTCCCGTAGCCGCGTTTTAGGTCGCGGATGGCAGATATATGTACACTGGGTAGGATAAATTTATGTACATACATACATATAAACATACAGTCAATAGAACATCAAACTATATACAGTTTTATTCGTATAAATCGCCTTTCGTTCTTGCGAATATCAGCATCCGCATTGTTCGATGTTCGCATGATCGAAATAATATACAAACCTTCCAGAAACAGAATGTAAGCTGGAAAAGCAACTCAGATTTTGTTTTTAATATAACTTTGATAAAATTCCACAACGAATAAGCTAGACAGAGTGTTTGTTTTCATGCAGATTGATTCTTTTGTTAATAAATGTCACAAAATCATGGAAATAATACTTTATCACAGTACCAAGGAAAATAGAAACCTTTTTCGTGTAGTTAGATTAAGTAAGAAATCTTTCAGAGGCTATACAATTTGTTTCTGGCTCAAGTATTTCATTCTTCTTGTAACGTCTTGTATACTTAATGTAACAAATAAAATTAATATAACGTGCAACTTTTTATTAGTTTTATTTCATATTGCTTGTAATATTTAATCGTTTCTAGGAATTGAAAAAGAAATGCCTTTTTTTGCTTTTCGTTTATTACGTTAATTTATCAATAAAAGCGAAGCTTCTGAAATTTAAAATGAATAAAGCAAGTATGTAATAAACAAACAGCTCATAGGCGTTTTGTAAAAATAAATTCCAGTCGGTGATAAACAAAAAAATATATTTGATAAACAAAAAAATATATTAATATCCAGAATGACATAACCACTGTGTTTTATTTCGACTGTTTGTTTTTTGTATGTATATTACGCGATAGCGGCGTTTCGTCGCCTTTCTTTCTCAAATTCTTATCATAAAGCACAAAGCTACTGAAGTGCAAAAAATTTATTGTACTCACAAAATTTTGCAGGCTTTTACATATTCTTAAAGTAAGGTATCCAAATTAACACACTTGATAAAAAAATTAAAATAAATAGAAAGTTTTGCCATGTCCTGAAAAATCACTCTTTATAAGATACGAGTTTGAGACCGTAAGGCGATTTTAGAACCGATTTTGATGATTTTTTTTGTTGCAAAGAAGGTACTTCGGTATTTATCCCATTTAAATTTGAAGAAAATATTCACCTTTAAGGGTAGCAAACTAGGTTTTGACTCCGGTTTCATGCACTTTCTGGTAACTGATTTCCATAAAACTTGGCAAATAGACGTAATTCCACGGACTTTTTCGATAGATCGGGTTTTTTTTAGTACCAACAACAGTCCATTTTGTGACCTCCCTTCCTTGATTTAATTATGGCAATAATGCTTTTAATCGAAGAGACCTGGATCTGTCTGTGGCCATTATAAGCTAATATGATAGATCAAAGTGACGGGGCGAACAAGTTGTGCGCGATAACGCGCATGTTCCAACAATTGGCAGTGCCACTCAGAGCTTTAAATCGCAAAGATCTGTATGACACTGCCACTGCGCCCGTACCCTGAGATATAAGTTGGCAAGTCCTATGTGCCTATGATTTCACCAGCTTCCTTCTAAACCAAATCGCAGTAATGCTCACGTTACTGTTTGGCGGGAGAAAGAGGTAAGGTAGCAGAGTACTTCCCTGGATTAATATCACAAGGAGCTCTACTGCAGCTAGTTAATCATGGCAATTGTGAATAATGATTCTAGTTGAAAAGGCCTAATTCTAACTTACCTAATTCTAACGTACCTTTATAAGCCAATATCAAAAAGTTGATGATATTAAATTCTTCTCTTAAAAGAAAGAACGTTAAGCGCCTGATATTAATTTATGAGCAAAAACGTTTACGACATCGGTAGCGCCTACTAATTTTATTATAGCAAAATACTCCTCAATATTGTATCTTCATTGAACATAAATACAAAATTTTTAACTCACTTGAAAAAGGGAGGTTCTCAATTGGTCTTATTCGACTCGTATTTTTTTGTGTGTATGTTACCATATGCGAACCGATTTCGATAATCCCTTTTTGTAGAAAAGGGGGTAGGTACCTCAATAGTGGTTCCATTCAAGTTTCAAGGAACTCTAAGGGTGGCAAAATAGGGGATGAATCTGGTTTATTGAATTTCAAATTTTGTATTTATTTCAGTTTAAGATTGGGGTATTCCATTTTCGTATTTAGAATACAAAAATAGTGACAAAATGGCGTTGTTTAAAAAACAAAGTAAAAATTTACAATGAGTATCAAATTGAAAGTCAGCCTTGGCTATGAGTGAAACGTATACAATACATTCTATAACACAAAATGTTTTGAAAAACCACATACAAAAAGTTGAAAGTCAAACAGGACATCAAAATGACATATTTGGCGGGCCTACAATAGGATTATGAAGGCTTTTGTGCTACCGATTATAATCCTCTATTGGTGCGTTTAGTACAGATACTTTGAACGAGTTTTTGTGACTTGCGGTGAGTCATTGAAATTGATATGCTGGTATTATTATGCCCTATTGAGTAAAACATTAGAAGTAAGAACTTACATTTGGCCGAAATAATGTATGCTCGAATTTTCATATCCAGGAAACCGATTTATAACGAAAACGTTTAACGTTAAACGGTTATTATGTTAGGATATTTTTGAAATCTATAGCAAAGAAAAGATTAGATTAGGTTAAGTTCTTTTACTCAGTGCGAAGGAATCTCTCTCTACAAACAGTGACTCGTTGCATGGTCGACAACGAGAGGTCCTGGAAAGGGGTCCTCACCTTCTGCAAAACCGTTTTGTCGCAGAAGGTAGCGGCGGAGAGAGACAGGGAGGTTGCGGCCTCTGTTAGCATCGTCTCCAAAGGACTGGGTGAAGGCGGCGTCACTTTGGTCGCCACCTTCCTTCCTCCTAGGGAGCCATGTCTGCATGTGACCCGAGATGGGGTCGCGTGTACCCGCTCGCGTAGTGAGTAGGAATCTCATATAACCTTCCGCCTCCCTTCCTAGCGTTTAAAAAACAAAAAGGTACTTTTACACAAAATTACTTTCGGGATTATGTAAGTTCAAGCAAACGTTATTTTGGGCAAATGCAATTTTGGTGATAAGTAACCGCCCTGTTAGACACTGAACATGTAAAAAAGGTATAAAACAAACTGTACTGGTTCGTTCACCTAATATAATGTGGTGATTTTTATATTTTTCTATTCAACAGTTTAGATCTTTTAGATAACAATTTTGAGAAAAAAAATGGCAACACCGTTATCGTGCTATTTCCCTCGCTCCATACTATACCTACTAAAAACAAAATGGCGCACTTTCGGATGTGCTGTGTTAAAAAAAAAGCAGGATAATTAATTTGTATAAGTGTGGCATCGAGTATATAACCAGAAATAGAGGTGTAATGTCAATTAATTTGTTTGAAAACTATTCTGCCATATCATTACTGTGACAACTGCGCTCCGATTGGCTAGCCCGAGTTCGAAACAATTGACGGGTGTCGTCAATGGGTGTCGTCAACTGTTTCACTTCAAAACGACCAGTTAACTTGAGCTTTGCTGTAATGCACGAAAACTGCAAAATTACATATTCAATATTTAATTACCGATGAAATTGGATTCCGTTTGTTTTGTAATTAGATGTTTTGCTGTTTTCCCCCCACACTACCGAATAGAACAGCACGGCATTGTTAGAGATATTATCTTTATTACAATAAATACAAAATACTTTTTGGAATATACGGAGACGTACACATAGGTCAGTAGTTGACCTGTCTATATTTCAGTGCAAACGAGAATTGATATTTATAAGAGCTGTATCGCTAATATGTTACCAGGAATATATGGCCCTTATTTCGTCTCTATTTCTGGTTATATACTCGATGAAGTGTGGTGATAAATAAGTTTATCCTACAAATTAACTGGAGCTGTTTTTATTAGATATACAGCTCGAACAGTATCGTGAACAATCTAGTTATGCACCTGGATTATTCCTGTACCATACTAGTGAGAGTGTAGAGTTAGTCATAACAACCAAGAGTACATCTCAATGTACTTGCAGACAGCTAACGCTGCAGCCTGGGGTGGAAAGTTTCTGTGGAGCTTCGACTTAGATAAGACCTTAGTTTAATGAACGGATGTATAAAAGCACCCATTAAAAGACATGCATTCAACCCTGCCGGTTGTCTAGTTTTATTTCTAGTTTTAAAAAAGCTCCTGTGCTCCTGAAAATAAGGCTATCCACAAAATAAGAGAACCATTTCTATTCTTACAGTGACGGATTTAGGAGAGATGCATGGACACACAAACCAGTAAGTAATAGCTTACTAAGTAGTAACGCATTGGAAGAACGACTTCTGCTCAATCGAAAGGTCGACAGTTTGAATCAGGGTTCTAAATATTAAGATTCTTTGATAATTGTTTGACAATTGGCTGATAATTGTCAGATATATTTCCGATAAGATAAGATAAGATATTTATTTATCCACTCTCACATAAGGTACATACATTATAATTATATACTGTACATTATAATTATATGTTAAACATAATATGTTAAAGGTAAGATATGAAGATGTTTCGTGAGTGAAATGTGTGTGTGTGTGTGTGTGTGTGTGTGTGTGTGTGTGTGTGTGAGTGAGTGAGTGTGTGTGTGTATGTAAGCGTGTGTGCGAGTTCTGAATAATATAATATTATAATATTTAATATAATTACATTTATTTAGTGACTTTTATTAAATTTTCACTAGTGTCATAGTCCAATGTTAAAAGCCATTTCATCAATGTAACTTTGCAATCATGCCTGCACAGATTATAAACGAAGATTTTAGAATTGATGTAGTTGTACAAGTGACCTCCCAGGAAACAGAAGAATTTCTGTGTAAAGCTATACTTAGCATGAAATTTGGGGTAAATGGCAAAGCGACGATAATTCTAGGATGCGCTGATTAAAGCACGTTAAGTCAAAGTCCAACACTATTCATTTCAATTAATACATCTACCGGCTAAAGCATTATAATTCTGGAGTCGTCTTTTTCAAATTTATCATTCTCTTCACATCTTCCAACACTATAAACAACAGAAAAAGTATATAATTATATGCTTTAGTTCGCCGACCCTCGCATTATCCTGATTGATGGTTTCGTCTGTTTAATTTTTGACTAGATATGTCAAATAATGAGAAAACTCTTCGGGAAAATGTTTTTTTTTATATCGACATTTGGCACGTTTGGATCTCTGGGGGTTGGATGGTCTCTGGGGGTCTACCCTCGATATCCGTCCGAAACAATTACTGCCAAATAAGCAATACTTGACCAAATGAAAAGACGCGTGATGCGAATGAAGGTTCATACTTAATACTTGTCTTTTAATTTTCTCGAATATTACTTATTTGACAGTAATTGTTTCGGACGGATGTCGGACGGAGATAAAGAGTAGATCCCCTGATACTAACACATGGCACGACATTGGTAGCGGTAACATTTTGTTTTTTAAATATAAGATAATCCACAGTCCAAGTCAAATAACCTTTATTTCATAGGTAAGCATTATTACACTTGAA